GACATAAAATGTATGATAATTATTCATTACAGTGGTAATAAATCCTGAAAATGAACTGTAATAACAATTGATTCAATTTATTTCTTAACATTTATTTCTTTAGATATTTTAAGAAATCAGAAATATAGAAGACCTACAGTTGAATAATTTGTTTAGTTCATATTATAATAATTGAATAAATTAATAATATAGGATTGAATTTATGTAAAGAACTCGGAATTTTACTGGAGCTAATCTACATTAGCTTAATTTCATTCCTACTCTTTCCAGCCAACACCAAGCCCAATAAAAAACTTAAATTCTGTAGGGATTTTTATTAAATAATATAACTAAGGAAGTGGTAACCCAAAGTCTTAACCATAATGCTGTAACAGGTTTTCAGGTTGGCGTTTGGTGATATCAGAAGTTACCAATAAACCTGTTTTGTGGTCCTTAAATTTTGTTTTAATGTTGACTGTATTTCCTTTGCTTTTGTTAATTGCATAGAAGGCCACTGTATTTTTTTTATGTAAACAGTATATACAAATATTATGTATTGAAATATAGATAGAGAGAAATTTCTCATAACACTCTGTGGTTAAAATAATTTTTTTTATCAGATTTGATTTCTTTATATTGTGATGCATGTATCATTTCAATTTAAGTTTTTTTATGTGCTTTTGTAATTTCTAAACTAGTGAATCAAATATTAATAGTGAAAGTGGTTTTATTGTGTATATCAACAATACATATGACTCACATTAAATTGTATGCGTGACAAAAAGTTAACGTCATAGTCGCATAATTATTATTAGCGCAAGGGTTCATTAGTGCATTTAAAAAAAATAAAAACAATAGTGATGATAAATAGAAATATAAGCATTTTTGGAAACTACATTCTAACAGTGATTGAGTTATTTCTAAATGTAATGCAGTTACAAGCAGCATTATATCCAATCAGTGATCAGGAGTTCAGGATGTTTTTGTTTTGAACATGCATAAACAATGAAAAAAAAAAAATGCAGGATACTTAAAATGTGCAGATTTCGAATAAATGTTCTGAGGTTCATAATTTGGTATTTATTTATTTATTTATCCAGCCAAGGAGTGAAATTGATTGTATTAAAATATATCATTTTTGTGCATTAATTTTTTATATCCTGATTTCTCCCTTTGTATTTATATTTTAAGGAGCGAGCCTTTATAGAGGTGTTTGTCACCTGTTGCTCCTCTCCTTCACTTGTGTGTTTTTTTTTTGCATTTGTGAGAAGTTTATTAAATAAAAAATAAAAATAAAATAAAAGTTTAAAATATCACATACAAATTACATGTCAGGATAATAAATGTAGGCTTGGAATTTTGATATTATTATGATATGTGCAAATGCCACATTAAAGTGAAGGAGAGTCCAATCATGATTACTATACTGTAGGTGATTACCTTCTATATGCCTAGATTTTATTTATTTAATTACTTATTAATTAGTTTTGGTTTTTCAGTTTTAGTTTAGCTGTCTTTGTAAACTGTTGAAACTCAATAAATCAAATCAAGTTGTGATTTCTGAAAATGATACTCAAATTATGATAATTTCTCAACTTAAAGTGATTGAATATTATTTGTACTAATATAATAAATCATTTTAATGATAACATCACATGTATCCTTTTATGTATTTAGTTTAATACTTTCCAAGTTTTTATTGGTAACATATTTGTAGATATTTTATTGTTCTTGAGTGTCTGCATTTGATTTGTTCTAGAACACAATATGGATAATTAGCATTTCCTAATATTATTAATGTTGTTAATTAATTTCTATGAACAATAAAATCATGAGTTTAATTGGAGACAAGACGTCCCCAAGTTATTATGATGTTCAATATTAATGTGCAAAAAAAAAAAGAAATACAAAGAAACAATTGTAATTAGAAACCTGGGAGTGGTATACTAAAGAAGCAATGACATCATGTCAATACTGACACTAAATAACATCTTCCTTACATTGTTTCCTGATACCGTTCTACATTCTAACAACATTCAATTGTGTGTTTTCTTAGTATCTCCGTTCCTTAAGGCACATGTTTCCCGTTTGTCATGAGCGACAATCATTTATATTTAATTCAAATTGATTTTATTTTTATATGGAGGTACATTTCTATAGATTTCTTGATGAAGAAAGACAAATAAATAATAATAAACAACATTAGTATTACTCTTTCAACACTACATTTTTGCTACATGAGTAAACAAAAAGTTTTTAAATAAATCCTATACAAAAAAGTTATCGATATGCATACAATGCATTGATAACTTTATAAATCACAAACTATACTTTTTAAAATCCATGATATGACAATGTGAAACTATTCTGGAGAATATGAGTAAGGTTTTTCATTGTTTAAAGTTGTTTATGTCTTTCAACACTAGATATTCTATCATCTTACCCTGGAGAGAAACACTTAGTAGTAACCCACCAATAGAACTAGAGACTTAAGTAAAGTATGTGTCATCCGTGACTGACAGCTGATGACTCACCTTTCTATTGTCTTCTCATGTCCTTCGTGTCTGGTCTCATTTAAGATCATTTTATTGCATACTGGTTACCTGGATATTTTTTTCTAGCCATATTTTTTTTCACAATCTGAAACCCTCCGACAAACCTGTACAAGATTCACAATAGCATTGGATAGGCCTATTCATGGATGCCTACCGTAGGTCTGACCAAGGTTTAGAATACCGTATAAACCAAACAGTACAGAAATGCAAGAGGTTCTATTCGGGGGTTTCGCTGGAATGTAATCCTATTTCAAAAAGTACTACCACGAATTAGAGGGCATCCTTCAAATGGCGAGTTTCAAACTCTATTCAAATTGTAATAGGGCGCCCCCTTAATCTTGTGGTAGTAATTTTTTAACGTTTTGTTGTGTCCATACAAAATCAGGGTAGTTGGAACTCTTGCAATTCTGTATGTATAACTGTGTTATCTTTATTTTTTTAAAGGGGAGACATGTTTCGAAGCCCAGGCAAAAAAGTCAATGTTTTTTGTTAAATAGAATTTTGCCAACCATAGAAGTATAGAACCACTCCAATTCCGAGGCTCCTCTAACCAATTTCAAAGTACCAAATAACAACCTTCAATATTTGAACACAAAGCTAAACCTCTATATTGGAGACTGAATCCCAAGTCGTCACCCCAAATTATCAGGTCGAAAATGGTCTTGAATTGAAGGGTGAACTATATTGCGTATTATACAAGTGCTAGCATGAAGGAGTGGGAGTGATACTCATTACTAATCAATCGATAGACGAAATTTATTATAATTAAATTGAAAGCCCTACTGTGCATAGAAACATAATTAATGTATTCTTCTAGGTAGATATAATTAATAAAAAATCATTTTATAATATATATGAAACTTGTTTTTGTAAACTAAAAAGGAAGAAACTGACCATTTCTCATTCTAGAAAAAAAAAACACCCCTTAAGTAATAGTACCACCTTCTTGGTAAGATTAGAAACTGATTATTTCTTCTAATTGATGATAGGTGACTCATGTTCTAATAACCACAAATATCTTGAATTAGAAGGATTGTTCTTTGGTCAATTAAAGATATATGCTTGTATTGGATTGTTTGTGGTCTTAACTATTTGTTTACACTCCCATGGTGCACCATTATGTGAACAATGACTAAAATAATGTTCTTTTGGTTTATTTTTATTGTTGGTGATTTGATTCATTTTTCAACCTGATCCTCAATTAAGGAGGGAAAATGGTACAGCAGGAAAGTGCTTGTCTTCTAATCGAAACTTGAGGTTCAAATCTGAAGCTTCCCACTTGCTGTGTCCTTGGGCAAGACACATTATCAAATATAGTATACAGATCCACATTCACTCCACTCTGGAGTATAAGTTAACACCTGGTTATTCTGTTTTAAAATTTCATGTCTTATACTGTATTAAAAGTTGAATATAGCGCCCTCAACTTCACAATGTTATTTAAGGATGAATAAAGCAAGGTATATGATTTCTAGAATTGATAGTTCATAAGGAAGTGATACAGAGTTTGGAATGACTGGAAATACATCACTACCGGCGTTATTAACTTAGGTTTCTGTCATACTTACTACCTAATGTAGCGCAATGCTTCAATGACCGTATGAGGGTTCCCATCCAGCTGATGTCTGTTAACTCAATTCTCAAATCTGCTAGTATTTATTCCAGCAGATTTCTTCATTTTTGTTTACTTTCAAGGCTATCGTTATGTCTTTAGGATGGGGTTTCCTGGCTAAGTTTACTACTGTATGTAGTCCTCATGTTTGGGCTGAAGGATTTCCTTGCAGCTATGTTTGCTAGATTAGTGGTCGTATGTTTATGCACATGTTTACCATAGGATTAGTACCATTATATTCTTCTTGTCATCTTAAAGGCCATACACCAACATGCATCAAATTACATCACATCACTCCTGCTGCAGCAAGTGGCACCACGCTCTTTATGATTTAAGCCTCCCTGCCAAACCAAATCGTATGGTGAAAGGGTTTTCTCAGTTCGCAGGCCCATCCTGTGCAACAAACATTCCAGTAATATTACTGATTGTATCTTAGTGAACTATTTTAAATCCCATTTAAAAACTTAATTATTCAAACAAGTGTTTGATTCAAAATTAAATAAATTAAAATTAATATGTACAGATTGCTGCTGTTGTGGACAATGTATCCAAGCAATTGTGTAAAGTGCTGCTGCGAGAATAATTTTATTGTTTATGGATGCTATACAATAATAAATTATTATTATTATTATTATTACCATTATTATTATTATTTTATTATTGTTATTACTATGATTATTATTATTATTACTGTATTATCCTTTATAAGCGTTTTTTGTATGCCAACCCGCATACCAAGATATTTTGATAGTAAATTTTGTGCAAACATTGAAGGTGTAAAGAATTTTAAAAATTAAAATAGAGGCCTTCCAAGCACTTTTAGACAAGTGTTTGTTATGTTGACTATGATAATGGTACATTTTATTTTGATTAGTAGGCCTTCGGTTGTCTACAAGAATATGTGTGTTATGTGTAGTAATACGTTAGCAATCAATATGATAAATAATAAAGTTGTCTTGGAACATTGGCATAAATAATTATTACTAGTCTCAGGAAAGTTAATGTTATTGAACATTTTTTATTGATATCCAACAGTTAGTAACTCTCCAATTGTTACCTCATAAGTCTTCTCATATTCTTGTGAGGTATCATTGAAAATGAACAAAAGTTTTTCTATCGCAAATTATGTAGACAATCAGTCTCCTCAGTTTACTAAGAAAAGCTACAAGTAAGAAAGTCGCAGAGCATTTATCAACATTGCTGACGGATGCACTGTGCAGTATCGACAGCCAGAAAACTTGTTTCCATTCATCCTCTAAGCGAAGGCAATTTGTCGGCCGTCCAAGACCTGTTGATGGAACTATTGCCCTTCTGGAATTACACATTGATGCTCTGCAGGAAGGCAGCATGAGTAAGGTGCACTGAGTCATCCCTGTGAAAGACCTGCACCTTTCCTGATATCATCCATACTAGTGGTTACTCAATCGCTGTGCTGCAGCCAAAATGGAAGGTTGTGTGTGTTGTTGGCTCGTGCCTGCCAAGTTCAGGTTATTAAACTAGTTTTCAGTTGTAACAGTTCAGATTCAAAGAAGATCAGAAGGATACTATGTAGTCTAGATCAAAAATCAGCAAAACAAGGACTGAAAAGAAAATAAATGTATTGTCAGAAACTTTAGTATTGCAATGAGCAAAAAGATACTGAATATTGAAAATGCTTTTCAGAAGAAAGATTCAATATCATTAGAAGCAGTACATAGTGATTGTTCAATCTTTATGTTTCAACTACTATAGTCTATCTCTAAACCCTCAATTATCTTGTATCGTATGCATATGTACCAAATCAATATTTTTGGTGCTCATATCACATTTGTATAGTGCACATTTGTGTGGTACTCATGTGGTGATTTGGTTGGTGTTTCCTTTGGAAATATTGAATTTGACAGAATATTACTATTTTTCTGAAATAATGGAATCCATTGTTCATAAGGTCTATCAACATTTTCTTTCATGAAATTATGTTTTCATATTTTCTATATTTTCAGTATATCAAATCTGTCCTAGAAATTAAGATCAGTTGAAAATGCTTGCGAATTATTACTTCATGATACTAAAGAATTAATATTGTTGCTGCACCCCACAATACAGAGATGCTACTAACTTGTGATCATTGTGTTTTGTGGTTTAATTTGAGAAGATGCTGCAAAAAGATAGGCTAGCTGTGCGCAAATTATAATTGATAAGACATGATATGATCAACAGTTTCCTGTTTATATCACAAAAGAAAAAAAATCTAGACTCCTACTTTGATGAGTCACATACTAAAACCAAAGTTTACAAAAACAACTGAAAGAAAAAAACAACTTTTTGATCAATCTTGAGGTAATGTCAATTCTGACTGGTTGGCATAATTCCCATAAGTTGGATCAGTTGGATGCAATGGGGAGTAATCCCCCTCTTCCTCCCTTCCCCTTCCCATTCTCTTCCTGTCTTGCTCTTACTTCATGTTGATGAATAGTTGAATAAAGTAAATATTAAATTATATTAAAAAATACTGCCACCTTAAAAGTTGAGGTGGTGGGGGAAGTTTTAAAAGATAAACATATTTTACTGTGAAAATAATTATTTTGTGGTAGAAGTTTTGATATGCAAAAACAAAGGAATGGTATTATTTTGTTCATTATTTATTTAAGAAAAGTTTTAGTTAAAGTCAGGCTCCGGAGGGAAAAAATTGTTTGATATGTTGTAGAACTGATTTTTCTAAGACAGAAAAAAGTTGTTTGACGAAAAACTGGGGAACGGTGAATGAGATAACAGATTTTTTAATATTTAAAAACTGGGGGAAAAAAGGGGCGTAACTGCCCATTTTTACACCTTATTCCCCCAGTTTTTAAATATTAAAATCTGTATCTCATTCACCGTTCCCCAGTTTTTCGTCAAACAACTTTTTTCTGTCTGAGAAAAATCAGTTCTACAACATACTGTATCAAAAATTTTTTTTCCTCCAGAGCCTGACTTTAAGAGATAATAGGTTATTGAAATGCAGAAATAATGTAATTTTATTATAAAATAAATCTGGTTTATTAGGTTTACATTTAAATTTATTTTAGGCTCCATTATCCATAGGTGTACATGAAAGAAGCGTGGGAAAATTTGGAACTAAGACATACAGTACATAAAATTGTCTTTGTACATATGACTAATTTGAGGTTAGTTTGCGGCATACTTAAAACAGATCAGTGTTTTTACATTTACTAACAGATTATGAAAAAGCCCTACTGTATTCATAAAAATGTATGATCATGCCATGATGCAATTTTTCTTTAGTGATTACAAAGTATATTACCTAGTTTCACATATGTTGGGATTATTTTGTATTGTCTGGGATGCTGATTGCAAGTCTGTTTATTACAAGTCATGTGATCAACAGTCATCTTATTCCAAGGGTATGGAATACCCCTGGGAATTACCTGGACTTGCATTATGCCATGTTTATTCCAAAGAAACAGGATCTGTAATGACTTTCTATTAAGTATTCCCCCTTTAGACATAAAGAATATCAGTAATAATTATGTTGTACACCAGTGTCTCGTGCTGTGCATACAAATACACATCGAAAAATATTTGTAAAGGTTTAATCATTCGTAATTATTGTCTTGGCCATGTAGCTCAGTTGGAAGAGCACCCATAAGGCATGAGGTCTTATGTTCAAATCCCAATGGATCTAATATATTTCTCAACTTATATATGAGATGAAGGTCCATAAATGAAATGATTAATTATCTATTATGAAAATTGTTAATGTCTTTTAACTTGCTTTATTAAATTCCAAAATGCTTACCTGGATAAAAAAAAAAATTCTTTAAAAAGACCTGGATTAAGTCACTTACTCATATTTTTTAACATCCTTATCAGATGATATATTTAAAGATATGTTAATCTCTGGGGATCTAAGTTAGATAATCCATTGATAATCCCTAAATGATGATTCTTAATCTATTCATGATTAATCCAATGATTCATAGGAGTTGAGATATGGCCGGCGAGACCTATTACATCTCCAATTCCTTATTAAATTACTATTCTTACTCATCGATACACAATCAAGACTCACTGGGCATGTCTCCATGCTAACGACCGCAAGCAAAAAGATGAAACTGTTTTGCAGTTGACGCGAACTTGACCTTGAGAACGAGTCGTCAAGATAGGATCTGTGGGTCCTTGGAATTTGTCCAGTGGCTTTAAAGACACTGATGAAATATGGAAATTCCTTTAAAAATGAATTAAATTGCTCATTAAAGAGAAAAAATTCATTTCCAAAGAGATCCCGATTCAAACAATTAGCTTATTGCTGATTTGCAGAAATTAAAATGTGTATTCAATTCATTACATTAGTTACTAGCCAATTTAAGGGTCTAGATATAGGAATTTAAGGCCAAAGACACAGGAAAAATATTATTCAGTAGTGTTAATTGGTGAGAAAAATGTTTTAATTGAAAGCTGAACTAATTTTGTAACTTAAAAAATATTTAAAGTGAGCACTTCAAATGACTTACTGTATTTCTTCAAAATGATGTCTAACTGGTTTTTGCCTCTCTTTTTAAGTGAGGTTTGTAGTGCGCCCTCACTCATCATCACGAAAATGTTGAGTAAACGAATGGGCATTTGACCAAGTTATCCGGTTATAAACTGCTATAACATAAGGGTTTGAGATGAATGTTAATCCCAATGGCATTGGTCCAGTTACTTACGCTACTAGTACTAGACATATCCTAGTCAAGTCGATCACTTAATTATGCGTTTTAATGCTCAACATTTGAACATGCGTAGCATGTGTAATTAGTTATGTGTATGAATACCAGGTGATTTTGAAAAGGGGGAAAAATAGGGAAAAAATTACCCCTTATGAGGAAGGTATCTCATCCTATCAGTCTGTATGACTATTCTTCCATTTTATTTTCTCTCATTTACTCAATTTGAATTTATAAACTTTTACAAAACAAATTTCATCACAAAGAATGGTAAAACCAATGTGAAGGTTCTTGTGGAATGTAAATAGACAGGAACTATGGAGCTGGTACAAAATTAACTTTACATATGGAAATCTTCAACATATTTTAATTATTGAAAATCCTCAAGTTAATGACTCATGTTTTCTGCGTTCATGAAACTGGGCATTGGCTTGTCATTGGGCCCTCCTAAGTCCCTCACGGGTGTTATAATAGCTGGTGGTAGGAACATTTCCTATTTTTATACAGGCCTACTTTGTATTCCATATCTATTGTGTTTTACATTTAGTGAAATATGCTATAGTAGTTGCATAATTTAATATTTATTATTTTTTTATAAAACTTTTTGCAAAAGTTTTAACACATTTTTTGCAAGTCCAGCACTTAATAACAGTATTTTTTCCAGGGTTGTCTTTTATTTTCTGGATGATTGACAAATATTGGCGATGTTTCTCTGATTCACTGCGCAACCTCGCGTCAATCATATTTCAAATGTTTGACTCATGCGCCAGGGACCCCCCCGGGCGCCAGAGGACATAGAATTGTTTCCAATTCTGATTGCCTGAAATGCTGATGTTTCATTGCTTAAATCTTAAGAGACCTGACTGGTGAATGTTCTTTAATGTATTATAACTTGAAAAGCACTGCCCATTGTGTTCAGTTGTTGATCACACAATGTTGCGAGCTGATGTGAGAGTGAAAGTCCCGATCGCATGGTGTTCAGAAATGTGAGATACAGAAGCTCCCCCTTGTATAGTGTTGCGAGCTGATGTAAGATAAAGTGGTAACTCACCGAGTAAGTATTTTCAACACTTGCTAATGAATGCTTTTGTGTATTTGTATAAACACTTTAGGACTGACACACATTTTACGCTATTGAATTTTAATCTGAATTCAAAAGTAGGTGTACATTATACCATTTACAATTTTAATGTAATCAATCATTTTATCATTGATTGTAGTTCTAAAATAAACTTTCATTTTTAACTTGTATATTTAGTATTTATAAACAAGCTTTTTTTTTTTTATCTTGTATTATAATATTCCTATGTTGCATTAATCAATCAAGTTAGTTTATTTCATATATTTAAATAATATATATATTTCAGGATTTTAAGATGTAATATATTTTAAATATTTGTTTTGATTAACTATTTTGAAATTTGTAAATTAACATCTTGAAATCATAGTTAAATGAAGTGTGCTCATTATTGTTAATCTTTTACTTAATATTGAAAATCATCTTTTCTAGTCAATTGATACTTAATTACAGTAGGCGATCATCAATAATATAATAATCATTTTTATATTATCTTATATAAATTAATTTCCTATTTTTTTCAAGTATTTACTCTTTCTTCTGTTTAAAAAAAATTATTCTTTGATAATGTGTATGTCAAAGTGAATTAAATTTATTTAGAATAGATTCAAGTAAACTGTACCAATTTCATCCATTCTATTATCAGATAATTTATTTATTTAGGCTAAAGTTGAGTCACAACATTTATTATGGCTATAGTTCATCTAGTTTGTTAAAATCATCATGGTAATTAGAATTAGTAAATTAATAATGCTGTGATCAAGACATGATTGGACAACCACATTTGTATATCATTCACTCAGTATCTTAATAGTAATCATCATCCGTGTTTAAATTAAGCTAACACATCATTTGAATTCATCACTCAATGGCAATTCCTCACAGTCACGGAGGTCAAGTTTACTCCAATCGTATGACAAATGTGAAAATAGTTGTGGTTTACAAAAAAGGACCTCCCACATGCTGTTAAGTTTACTTGATCACTCTTACCACTATTCTCACTAAAATGACACTATTTGAAGAGCTGCTGCTTAGTAACATACAGACTACTTTAGCATTCGGGCAATATTGTGTGGGAAACAAAATCCATTATTACTGGTATTTCGCGCTGGTATTCAGTTATGACAAACCTCATCTTTATGAATGCGAGCTGTAATTGTATTGTTGTAGGCCTGACTAAGCAACCGGTGCAGCGTTGTACCTGGTAGGTGAGAGTGATGCTTAGACCACTTGGAATGCATTGTAGCATTACTCATAATGAAATTTGATTGTTGTTTGGTAATAAAACGTTGTTTATAATTCATTGTGAAGTTGTCCAATTATTGTAAATCTTAGCAAAGTGGTTAATGATACTAAATTGTAATGAGATCTTGGTTTCTGAATAAGGTATCAGTACCAAGGAGGTATTATACCTCCTTGGTATTCTATTACTGTAACTCCAGTTTCAGTGTTTCTATTTACTCTGTACTTATCTTAATATATCTACAGTACAGTACTACCATTGATTACTATATTTTTTTATTAAAGTTAGATCTAATCATTCAATTTGATAAATCCCCTTTTTTAACTTTAAACAATAGAAAACACTAGGTTATTGTGTGATAAGACCAAGTCAAATATTTTTAAGAAACATGCAGCATTCTTAAAAGTATAGTACTATGTAAAAATCCCATAATATTCAAGACCCTAACATTTTTTGTTTTATCAGAGATCTCTATGACAATAAATATCCCTGATTAGAAAAGATAATACAAATTAGATTTTGATTTTGATATAGCATGAATTTAAATGTTTAAAACAGCTGAAGAAGTTCTAAATTTTCATGATTAATAATGATTCATAAAATTCTCAAAAATATGAGCATCATAAAAATTTATTGGTTTACTTTACAGTAACAGCTTCGCCTCGTAGATTGGTAGAGCAATCAAACAAAGCGCTGAATTCTTCAGTTATAATCCTAATAGAAATAATGTGTTTGTGAGTTTAATCAATAGAAAATTTTATTCATAATATAGACAAAATGTGTTAAGATTTCCTTCTATATGTATATCAATTTAAATTTCTCCTAAAATTAGATAAGTAGAATGCATGTACTTTTAGCTTAACTTGCAGTTTATTAAGTAGCAGTAGTTTAAATACAGTACCATATTTTTTTTAATAAACGCCTTGCTTTGAATAAACAACCCCCCTCAAATATTTGCTCCCTCTAGAGCCTCATTTGGAAAATACGCCTCCCTTAAATAATATCCAGAGGCATTAACTTTTATCTTGAATAACGCGACCCCCCCCCCCCCCAAAATGACTAAACAAATCTAATTGGAAGCAACATCATTCTGAACATACTCTATAATGTTCTACTCAGTAGAATTACATTTTTCTAAACTGGTTGGGATTAACAAGTCTTTATGGTCACGCTATAACACATATTGACCGTAATTATGTGTTGTGAAATTAAGGGGCATTTATTTGAGTACAGTATACGTATTCATTTTACACAAAAAAAAAAAAATATATATGCCTCCCTGGAATAAATGCCTCCCTTGAATGAATACCCCTCAAAAACCCTTCTCTACAATAAACGCCCTGTTCGAATAAATACAGTACAGTAGTTTATTTTTGTTGTTATGAGTTTTGTATGATCAGCACACTTGAGTAGGAGGACTTTGACTGATTCAAATTGATATCAAACCTGGATTCCTTGAAATTACCATTCCTCAACTGATCTTTTCATCTTGCATAGATTCATGACCAATGAATTAATAAAACTTTGTTTTTTTATGCTTGATTTAACCATCTTCAGAATTAATTTAGTGAATGTCTGTAATTTTTAATTGAGCCTGCTTGGTGAAATGTTTCATGTTTCACCAAGCATGATATTGAGTTCAGCAATGTCAAACTTAATTTCCCTTTTAAAACCTAAACAAATTTTTTTTTTTCATTTTTCATCAGGTGACGATTAAAGAACTACTAGAAAACGCTTGCAAGGTAGAGACGGATAACATTTGCGGTGTGATAGTGTACGACCAATGCACTCAAGACTTGAGTAGGGTTCCATCCGAAAGTTTCCTTCTTATAGTGCTCAATAAGCTAACGGAGGTTTTCAACAATGTTTCCTTGGTAACAGGTGAGTGATATTGGTTTATTTGTATGGTATGTGTGTGTGGACAGGTAGAGAATTTGATATGTTATTTTACTTTTCAGGGTACAGTAATATGTATGCAATGAAAACTTGTGTATTGATATTAAAATAAATAGTTATAATTTAATATACTTCAGTATACCTAAATGCAATTTACACCATATTGTATATTTTATAGAAAAATTATATTACAAAAAGAAAGCAAGAAAATACAGTTGTCTATGATTATTGCTACAAATTTTTTTTTTTTTTTTTTTTAATCTGTTTTTTGGAACTTGCATTTAATTATTATTGATTTTAACAGTTTTTATTTTTTTGTGATAATCTGTTTTATGTTGGCAAGCAGCTTAAATCCAAATGCAGTGATAGAGTAGCTGTCTCTTATACAGGGTTCCATCCGAAAGTTTCCTTCTTATAGTGCTCAATAAGCTAACGGAGGTTTTCAACAATGTTTCCTTGGTAACAGGTGAGTGATATTGGTTTATTTGTATGGTATGTGTGTGTGGACAGGTAGAGAATTTGATATGTTATTTTACTTTTCAGGGTACAGTAATATGTATGCAATGAAAACTTGTGTATTGATATTAAAATAAATAGTTATAATTTAATATACTTCAGTATACCTAAATGCAATTTACACCATATTGTATATTTTATAGAAAAATTATATTAAAAAAAGAAAGCAAGAAAATACAGTTGTCTATGATTATTGCTACAAGTTTTTTTTGGTTTTTTTTTAATCTGTTTTTTGGAACTTGCATTTACAGTAATTATTGATTTTAACAGTTTATTTTTTTGTGATAATCTGTTTTATGTTGGCAAGCAGCTTAAATCCAAATGCAGTGATAGAGTAGTTTTGTCTAAATCAATTTTTTTTTATCTGAAAAGAAAGGATCTAATGTCGGATTAATCATGTTTGTTGTTTACTAGTTTGACAATCCATCAGCGTTTGTGCTAATGCATGACTCATCCACTAAAAATCATTCCATATGAATCGGATCCTAAGGGAAATAAGTTATCCGTATGGAAAAAGTTAATAATTTTTGAAAATAGGTGGATTTGACCAAATAAAGTCATCGTCATTCAAGATGAACAAAAGAAATGACATGATTGTATTAAAGGTGGCAGATTTATTAATCCAGAACTTTAAAACTTGACTCGCAGTATACCTTGTGGAGGGATCATCTGACACCCGCCATAGATTCTCCCAGATTCCATGGTTATTTTTGAAGCTGGCGAAATCTCAACTTTTCTCTCATTTTCGGTGACTCATCATTCCTACATAGCTGACATACTTCTGTAATTGAGGAAAGTTAAAAGAACAAGAAGACATTGGCCAGGCATTCTTCCCACTTTGCTCTCAATATAACATCCTAACGGAATGTCGGAATCCCACATGTTTTAGCCTGATAAAACTGACTGAGTGATTCATGTCATACCGTTTATTAAATAATATGCTTTACAAAATTTTAAAACAAAATATGAATAGCAAAAGCAAATGTCATTCTACTAGAAACAAATTGAAAAGTAGACAAGACAAAAAGAAAAAAGTAGTAAATAAAAAGTTGACAGTCAACAAATATAGTAATCTTCAAAGTAGGGATATAAAACTATTAATTAAATTTCATTACATTCAGCAATACCATCTTTGTACTATTTAAAATTGTAATATTTCCGCTATATTATGATGCAGACAAATAAGTACACATTATGGAAATGACACATAGTAGGAGACTTAATACTCACTGGTACTGTTATTACGAGTGAACTCCTATGTATTAATAGAAAACTTTTGGGATCATTAAAAAGTGTCCCCCTTAGGGCTGTCTCCTGAAAAGGGGTTGATGATAGTATTGAAATATTATTTCTGTCCTTGTTTTTTCCCAAACTATTTTGTTTCCAATTTTTATGAATTTGAAATAATGTAGAATTTAAAAAAAATAATTGATAGGAACTACCTGTACACTATGTTCTTATTACTTTTGTTGATAGACTTTCTATAAAAGTTTGTTTTCCCAACTAATATTAAATATTATATCAGTGCATGACTTTATTGAGTATGCACCTTGTAATTATATGTAAGTGTGAAATTTTTTGATTTCTTTCTACCAAATGACATAGGAAACAGATTTACCTAAAGTAAATTGAAATCTTGAATCTGAACTTTTTGATATTACTTCAAAATCCATGTGAAATCTTCTGAAATTGCTTAAGTTTAGTAGTCACCCTCTAATACACTTAGACAAGATATTTCAATTCACATCTTGTTCCAATCTGTAAAATTCACACTTTAGTATTGTATGTCCTGAATGTCATAGGATTGAATACTGTAGTATATTTAGTTAGTTTTGCCGATAATGATTTATGTATCTATCATTGCTCTAACTACTGTACATATAGCATACCAATTTACTCCTCTACACTAATGTATTGATACCATACTGTAAAACATCGAATTGAAGCCCTGTGCTTCTGTTTTTCTGCTAACTTCGGATGGGCTTCTTTTCAAGACCACAGCAAAATGAATCCTGTAAATTTTGAGACTTAGTTCTATGGTAGAAATCAACAAAGAGGGCCACTGTAACATCAATCTATATCATGGAGTATATTAACCAGCATTAAATCACTTAAACTACTGTATAAACCAGCTTGTTTTTAATATATTTTGTTTCTTTGAAATTCATGTACAGTGTATGTACTGTACTATCTCGAAAAGAAGCCTACAGTATGCTCTCTCGAAAAGAGGCCCATGGCCTTCTTTTCGATGCTAATTTTACAAATTGAAGAGGTGGGCTTCAATTCAAGATGGGCTGCTTCTTGAGATTAAGCCCATTGGGCTTCAATTCAACTTTTTATAGTATTTATAATAAAGTTTCTATAATAAAAAGACGGTTTTTTTTCATATTACAAAGTCTTTTCTGGTTTTTAATGAAAAATATTAATATGATGGTATAAATAATAACAGTGGGCTTATAAAAAACATGTTTTATTTGTGCTTTTGCACTGTGTATCAAACATTAAAAAAAATCTGCTACCATCCAGCACTTTACAGAAATAAACAGGTACCATAGTTAAATATTTTAAATGATTTTTTGAATTTGTATAACATAAGATATTGTTTATAGAGTATGATATGACTACATAGTATATAACCCAAACTTTTGTATACTTTACATATGTGCAAATGATATTGCGTGCCTAGGACGGTTCCATTATCCTTGTAGGGATGTTTGCGAACAACTGAGCTATGAAACTAGGTTTAAAGTGTGGAGGGATCACTTTCATTGCCTTTGCTAATTAAAGTCATTTACTTGGTAGTTGTAGAATAATTACGATTCAACATTTTGTGACATGATACCGCATATCTTGTGTTTTTAATCCCCGAAGACTTGCACTATTTTATTGACCTTTCCAATATATATTTCGAATTTCGATTTTCAAGTAACAACATCCGATCGTTGAAACTATACCCCACTATACAGAGCATTACGAGTTGTTTATTGGCTTTTAACCTTGTTTTTCTCAAAGTATTAATATTACAAGTAAAACATATTTTTTTTATAATGAAATTCTTATCCTACGCTTTTTAAGGTAAATGCTAATTTGCATAAAATTGTGATTATTTTATAGAATTATGGTTTGAATAATTTTATGAACGACAGTGATATTATTAGGTATTAATCATGTCAATAATCGTGACATTATAGGAACCAGATGATTTTTTCAATAATAGCATATATATACATTCAAGCTAACAATAATTAAATATACTATTAAAATTAATTATTAATTCTCTGTTGTGGTGTATTAATTTTCACTAATTATGTGAAGTTTCAAAACTTGTAAAATCTCTCTATGCATTGATGGACTAGCTAGTTATCTCTACTAGGTTTCAGACAGAAAGTACATTCACTGTTCTCTGATATTATTTATTCTTAATACGGTGCCACACAGCAAACCTAATTTGATATACAGTGATGTCCTACCTGTGACCTACAAGTTAATTTTCAGCTTAACTGGAGTTCGACTATGTATAAGTCTTCCTGCAAACTATAAGCTAATTTTTATCTTAACCTTAGTTCCACTATGTGTGAGCGCCAAGTCAGTTGTATGGAAAAAAGTGCCTGGGGGTTAAATTTGCACCTATACCGTATAGGTCTCTGTGGTCTGGCGGTATGATGATGCTCATCTTGATAATGATAGGTTGCAGGTTCAAATCCTGTCAGGCACTTTTTCATACAATTAAAGAAGGATACAAATTTACAACATATTATGTTCCTATTTAAGTACTGTTATTATTTATCTATTTGTTTATGGTTGTGTTTACGGTGCTATAATATTATATGTTTGTATTTATAACATAATGGAACAAAGTTTAATGATTGTTTCATTTTCAATTTAAAGTGGTGGTGACTGCTAGTGTACAGTAAAACATTAATATTTCAAATTTCTAAAACCTTTCGGAGAAATGAACAGCATTCTACATTTTGATTAAATAATGATTTGTCTATTTGAGACTGTTCAGCAGTGTTTAATTGAATGTATGTCGTAGGCTGCGTGGTGCCAACTAGATTTGCGGAGGTGTTACTGTCATTTACGCAGGTTTCCTACCTGTCCTGCCTCGCAAAATGTCTTGGCTGAATATTAATATACTGCAGTACATTCTGTACTGTGCTATAATTTATCTGTTTGGATAAGAGCCAATAATAACCAGAATGCAACATACACTGTAGAAAAACAAAACATGTTATTTTGAAGCAATATTTTTTTAGTTAGAATCATGTAATTACAGTATGTTCATTACAGTATGTTCATGAATATAGTAATATACAGTAGTATTGAAATCTATGTAACTATGTAATTTGTTTAATAAGTGAACATGATACTGACGGTTTTTTAATATATTTTAAATGTTGATACTCATTTTAAAAAGTACTATAGGCATAAATTGAAAAGTAGATATGCAATTACCTATACTTACTTTTAAAAATGCAATTTTTTTTGCTGCTATTATACTGTTTATTGTCATCAGGTCAAAATAAACTTCAGTAATAATATTTTTTTTTTAATGAATTGGCAGCAAGAATTTGATTAATTGAGGGGTTGTCCAAATTTTCGGTTAATCACCCCTTCTATTATACAATTGGCATGCGAAATCAAAACATAATTTTTGGAATGACGGGAATGTACTAACTTCTAAATTTATTTGCATCAAATCTCTGGATTGATTTCTGTACCTGTGTTCCAATCACTAACCTCTAAACTTTAAGCATCGGTGATCTATCCCAGGTATGGCATCCAATAAAACGATGTTAATTGGCCATTAATTAATCAATTATTCAAATTCACCCAGCCACTCTGGAAGCGGCAGTTATCTGCTTCATTCCTGCGCTACCAAATTACGTTAATTCAGGATCAAAGTATCTGTTCATTATTTCATCAGCGGTTATACCGTATAAATAGGAGCGTTGCAGCTTGGGCTCTTAATCTTAAGGTCGTAGGGCTTGATTCTCTCACTACACATTTCACTCGTGTCCTTGGGCAAGATATCTTACCTATGTTAGTCCTCCACCCAGCTCTACTGTCTTTATCCCTCATACTAGAAAATCTCCATATATTTACTATGTGAGTAAGAAATATAAATTTCTTACCTGGAGATTTCATAGGAGCTAGTGATGCAATAAAAGGGAAAAAAAGATTCATTTTTTCACAAAAATAAGTCTTGCGTATGCAGATACATTCTACATGCATGAAGTAGGTACCTGGTCACCATGATAAATGATGATATCAAGATACAAGATAAAATTTATTGTCTCCAATTAAAATAAATTAAGAAATTACAAAACTCGCAAAAAAGTACAATTCCAAAAAAATCACATTAAAATTGAGGAATGAAAGAATCAACATCAAAGTTCCATCAAAAAGCAGAGAAAAATTTAAAATTATAAAAGGCCTACAATATTTAAAGAATGAAAAATGTTAGAAGAAGAAAAAAAAGGGACACATCCTGAATGTTAATGCATGGCTAGGTTGTTGAATTGTTAAATTTTACAATGACTAGGGCAATAATGTGAAGCACTTAAGCTATTCAGTGAAAATTCCTTGTTATTCTTAGTGCCAGACTTTATTATTAATTCTGATGAAAGGGAATAAACTAAATTATGCTAAAGATGTAAGAATTAACATAATCTTGGCAATTTGACAAACAGTTAGCTTTGTATGTATACTCTACTGTGCGTGGGTGGATGGATAGACACTTTTAAATGCCAACTACTACTGAACGACTGTATTATATAATATTATTGCCTCGATATGAATTTACAGATTCACAAGAAGGTTAGGTATGTAATAAAATGACTTCAAAATAAATTGGTATGTCATTTCATTTGGTGTATATCCATCTTATGAAGAACTGGTAGTGCTATAACGTAGTTGCTATATAGATCTGGTTTATGTTTATATTCGGTACTGCTAAGTCTTTAAATATTTGTTATAAATATTTGATTTGACTAATAAATATAATAAATTATATTATAAGTTATATAATATTTGAAGTGTAAATTCTGGTATTGTAGCACATGAACTGTTACGACCAAGGTCTCAGTGTGCTTTGTTTTGTATGTTGTTGTACTTCACAATATTATTACCCTGGTCATTGCATTAACCACCTATGGAACGCATACTCAACTGGTGGGATATTCCATTAATCAACATATTGCCATTCAATCCTACCAGGTACGTAATTATAATCCTAGCGGAAGAGAGAAAACATGGAAAAAGTAGGCAATAATGAAATAATATATATACTGACACTTGGTAAGTGCAGTGCACATTTAAAGATTACGTATGGTAACATAAAATGTTACCATAACATAGTTGGAGCTTACATTGTTGATATCTATTGTGCTTGGTGTATTATCGATGAAAGAGTTGTACAGTGATAAAATGTTATGGTTTACTGTGATAATCATAATCACATGTACGTGAGCGTGTGCCATATCAGAAACACATGACCTTACAGTTACTTATGATGATAGAAACATATGAGCAATAGGCTTGTATCTATAAGGATAAATAAAGTTTTATATACAAATACAACTTTATGCTATAATATATGCCCATTTTATACTAGATTATGTTGTTATCTGAGTGAATGATTATGTCATCTACTTCAATACAGTTCCAGCACTTATTTGTCATGGTTAAATACTATTTTGATATATTTGTAATGTTTTACATATTGCATAAATTGTTATCTCTTGCAATTCAGAAATTTTGCTGCTATTAGAGAAGTTAATTAAAATTAATTTGAATATTATATTATATAATTTAATATGCATATAAACATACATATTATGTAGCAATATGATCACGATAATATGAGCCCATTTTATACTAGATTATGATGTCATCGAGTGAACGATTATGATGTCATCTGCTTCACTACACTAATAGTTATTCATAGCCCTGACCTAGTAACTCGAACAAAAGAATTAAATCGTTATGTTCATCATTGGATCTCCCTCCTGTTCTGATGAAATATTGACTCTCATATGATTCATGAGGTTCAACAGTTAAGTGGTGCGTGTATCCAGCACTCAAAGCGTGTGTGTATTCAGCACTTGAGCTACATATGCTACGGATTACTACCAGTATGATGTTCTGAAATTACTTTTTATAGGATTTATTAGTCAGAGAACTTATATATTATTTAATGATCTTATTGTTCCATTTCTTTTGAAATAAGGTCAAAACATAGTTATTTCATCCTTTAAGTTTATCTCTATATTTTAATTTTTGCTCCATTGTATAAACCTGAATGAGAAAACAAATGCAGTGCCTTTAATGGATTGTATTTTTAAGCTACATTCAAAATATTTTAAATTTACGTCATGTTGATTATAATTGGTTGAATTTAGTGGTTTCTTACATGATTAGATGTCATTGGTGAAAATAATCTAATTTTTCTAAGACTGAATTCGATTGGTTGAATTTTAAAGCTCATTGTTGATTTTAATGTAAAATTTTTAACTAAATAATTATTTTTATTTTTAATTCAGTCACAGTTAGAAGTATTATTGGTTAATAGCAGCAGTCTACAACTTCACATACTAATTTTGATTAAGTAGATTTTATCAAGATCTTTTTAGAATAGGTTTTATCTGTTAAAGTTAATTAAGTTTCAAATCTTAATAAGTAATCTGTTTAGGAGTCAAATGTAGAAAAGAAATATATAATTACCAATAAATTTGTTTTTAAGAGTAATTTATTTGTGTTTATGTATTAAAAAGCAATTTATTTTTTCAGACAAAATTGATCATCATTGTTTGAAGATTTTAATTAAAAGGAAATAAAGAAGTAATGTTCATTAATTTGAAATTAATGGATATGTAGATAAATATCCAATTTAATTGATAAGATATTCATTTTACATTTGTTTTAAATTTATACTTTAGTTAAAACTAATTATAAGTTCACATGTAAAATTACCATTCAAGTAGAGTACAATCATAGCACAAGTGACTCCATTAGTGTAAGTCATGCACTGCAATTTGAGTCACAATAGACTCCTCTGAATTGCTCGCAGCGTGAGCTGTTTGATTAGTCTGCAAATCCTGAGTACTGGTTGATACTTTATCCACGCTAATCTCTCGATGAGTCATCGACTCACACTGTGTGCTTACGTATACAACACCACACTGTACTATATGATGTGTTACACAGGCCACTATAAAGTAGTGTAGGCTTAATGTATATAATGAAACTCTATATAATAATATGCTGCAAGACCAGGTATGCTATTAAACATAGCAGGCTTAAGAACGTACACAATGAAACACTACTATTATGGTATGAGACCTAGCATACTACTAAACATACCAAGCTTAAAAGTACACACAATGAAATTACTATATATGGTGTATAGACCTATTCATACTACTAAACATAGCAAGCTGAAACTACACAATGAAACTCTACTATAATAGAATAGTATGGGATAAGACCTAGCATACTAATACTAAACATGGCAAATGAAAGTGTGCAATGTCAATGAAACTCAACTATAGTATATAAAATGATATAATGATCTTTGCATGTACTAAACATTGCAGTATGCAAACTCTAACCCATTGGTTATACAAACTCGTGCTAGCTACAAACTCGGTGGCCTTTATATGCATTGTCACTCCGTAAGTAATGATATATATTTAATGATATATTTAAAACAAATGTATGCATTGCCACTGCTATTCCTGTACATATCTTTTTCTCTTGCTATGCATAGCAGTAGACCTTTCATTATTATTATTATATTGTTTTTATTACTGTTATAATATAGGTGCATAAATATATGCTGCTAAATATAGATTAAAGCAACCATGGTTAGTTTTAGGTTATTTTTTGTGGACTTTCTCAATATTCTTATTCTTGAAAGTAGTGTACTGAGTTCCTTTTTTGTGTTATGTGCTATTTTGTACTCAGGACCATCAACTTAATGTTCTATCCAAAGGACGAGGTAATTAGAGCAAAGTGTATAATAATTACCAAGAACACAAGCAAGAATGGCTTTGGCAATGGTAGGCTTAGAACATCGATCCCTCTCACCAAAGTCAATCCCTTTCTACTGCTAGGTAGGGTTTACACATTGCTAGGCTAAGGCAGAATTGCTTTAACAAGTTCAAGTGAAAGTTTTGCTTTATATAACATGGTGTAGTATATGTAACCGGCTCAGGTAAAACCCTCCGTTGCTAGAAAAAATTCAAAAATGAGTTTTTGGTATTTTTAAATTCTGCATGAAGTCTTGTTTAAAACTATTTATTTGATGAAAGTTGGTTGAGTATTACCAAAGTTATGAATATTTATTTCATTGAATATCAGCCATGCAGGTTTTGAGGAAACGGCTTCCAAAGATTCCAAAATCAATAGTTTATTATTAAAAGATTAATATACTTTTCAGTTAGATTTAGTGATTGATATTTTAGAGAAATGTTCTTCAATATATTTTTTATTAAATTACAAAAACATGGAAATTTTCAAAATTCTGATTCTCAAAAGTTTTGGGTGCTTGTGGGAAATTAAACATTTGCGATAAATTTTGTCAGAGTTGGTCACTTATGCTAGTGGTTTATGGTAGCATATTAAACACTAAAATATGGTAAAGAGATACATGTACACTTTGTCACTAAGTACGTCAGTGGCATTTATAGTCGTTCTAGGATCAAGCGGATATTACTTCTTAGGAATGCCTTGCACTTTAACACTTGAATGCAATTGATCGTTCGCATTTAGTGACATGAGCCATATATTTGATATTCTAAACACTCCATCCAAGAATTCTAATTTTAGCCAGTTATTGAGAAGTTGTCCCTTGTTATTTATTACCCAATAGATCTATTATGTATTGTAATATAGATTAGTGTGTGCTGATGATAAAATGTAATTAAAGCATTTTAATTTTAGGAAGTAGTATAAAAACTTTATTTTAAAAAAAATGGAGATATACATAATATGAGTATATAAGATCATGTTTCTACTATACTTCCACTTCTGACTATTTAGACCTATATTCTTGGGTAGTATCATCGTCATATCCTCAATTCCTCAATCACTATCAAGATTTTTGTCATCAACCTTGTCTAACTCATTGACCCAATGTAATATCTGCAACACTATACATGGGCCATGTGACTACAGCATTGTTTTATCCAATTGTTTAAAGGGATATCCCAAGAAAATTGCTCAAGTATTAGCGCTGGCCCTGGCACTAAAACTATCGTATCATGTTACCTTGACCACAAAATTGTCCAGTGACTGAGTAACCAAACAAAATCTCAAGTTTGACCATCCATGGAGGTAATTACAGCTATGTTAAGCTTGACTACCAATGAATAGGCTAGACACCATGAATATTTACCTGTGTAAACCGACTAATCTACTAGGTCAAATAAAATAAATTGTTTGTTTGCACTTCTTTTTAAAAAAATTATAAATAGGGGTGGGTGGAAAAAGTTTTTTTATTTATTTATTTTAAATACTCATCAGATGGAATAAAAATAACACCCAGAGGCCTAGAATGGCAATATCTTACATCAGACAACAACTTCAGACTAATTTGTAGGGCATCTAGCAAAAAATAAAGATAAATTCACTCAGATCTTTTTCATTTGTAAAGAAAAGAGCTAAAAATTCTTCTTTTTAGTCATCCCTTTTCTCCAGGGTCATAAAGTTAAGTTATTTAATTTCAGGGAGTTGCACATCCTTCTTGCAAGCAATGTTGTCGGATAAATAAATACAGTAATAATAAAAATAATTTATATATTATTTGGTTGTTATTTGCTTGAGTTCATAGCTATGTTATTTTTATTATTTAATTATATTGTAATAAATATTGTATTTTAATTTGTATTTTAGTCTATAATCACCATATACTGCAATGCAAAACATTCTAAATGTAACTGTAGGGAAATATATTTTGATATTAAAAACTATATTGTATTGCATTTTATACTGCAACTTTAGTAAAACAAAGCATGGTTTGCTTTGTCTTTAAGTGTTTGATAATATAAAAAGAGGGGGGGAAGTTTGATAATATAAAAAGAGGGGGGAAGTTTGATAATATAAAAAGAGGGGGAGGGGAGGAAGTGAATATTGATATGATATCCTCTTTGATTTATAGCTAAGCAACTTTTGTTTTGAATCAAACAAAGAAAACTGAATGTGTTTAAACAGACAATGAGGGAATTCACCAACTGCTGTCTCATTACTTCATTTTTAAGTCATTCCAAAATTATTAGGATTCTTCCATTTTTATACCTCATAATTATGCTCTATTATCAAATTTTTAAATAAATAAATCATAATGAAAAACATAATTTCCCTTGGTAAATTTCCGAATTTTTAAACTGATATTTGTACTGTAGTTGGGGATTTTTTTCATGGAAATACATGTGTTACATAAGTGTTTTGTATGGAATTACTTCGAATGCCAGTTGGAGATAATGAGTCGATGATTAATAGGTTTCTTCATCATCACAAAGACATCTCTGATTCCAATGCTGAGATTCACACAAAGAAGTAACAATTACTGTACACATAAAAGGGTTAGGGCATATTCACATGTATGCATGAAGCATTATACGTCTTGTGACTCGTGTATCAAAATTGTGTGCGCAAGATATGTACAATATGCATGTATCAAGCGGGAGGGCTATGAAAACATGCACGCATGTACAAGTGCGACGGCTGACACGCAAACATGCTCACATGTACAATTTGGATGACTGACACGCAAACATGCTCACAAGTGGGAGGGTTAACATGAAAACATGCACATATGTACAAGTGGAAAGGTTAATATGCAAATATGCATACATGCACACGTGGAAGAGGTAACATGAAGTCATGCGTGCATACAAGTAGAAGGGTTAACACGCATTTGGAGTATGTGTATGAGACTTACAGAATAATCATTTAGCATTCTCTATTAGCATACATTCACAGCTGGCATCTACTGTTACCCCTTTGTCTATGTAAGATAGTGTGCTTCTATATGCCATACATATTCAATAACTAAATTATTTGTTTTGATATATTTTATTATATATAGTTTGCAAATATATTCTAATTAAATGCATGGATTTAGTAACTAAATTTAAAGATGATAAAATATAGGATATATCTTTTAAAACATGATTTTATAGCAAGTTTTTAAAAATAGCATAAGGATATTTACTTGGCTGGTATATAAACATTAATTGTTCAGATAATTAAAGATTTCTTGTCACTAAAGATATTGATAGGCCTGTACAGTAGATTATTGTAATAGTTATTTTTCTTAATATGGAGTTTCTAGCATTGCAATAAGTTCATTAAGATTGAGTAAATATTCTAAATAATTCTCTGCGTATTTGTAACTACAGCTGTGGCTACATTACTACTTTTTATCCATACAAAGAATGCGAAAAATCTCGCTCAGTTGTAATAAGCTTTGGTTAGACTAATATCCAAAACAGTGGGAGGTTGCACATTTGATGCATCAGCCATACCATGGTCACCAGTCTTGTTGTTTAGGTTGGTGACTCATTCATATGAGAATATCCTGTTACCCATTGGTCGAACTTCCTCTCCTGGATATAGTGAGCATTCAGTCATAGCTAGTGCTGACAGTAACAGCAGGTTTACAGAACAGTGATCATAGCTTGCTTTTCTCGGCTGTTTGAAGAATTGCAGCAAATTTAATGCCGTTCAGTTGGATTTATACGTGTAGGGAAAGGAGGTAGTACATATTCTACATATGTGTTTAAACACATCTCCAGTTGGTAATGTAAAAGGTAAGGCTGTGTTTTTAGTTGTCTGGTGCATGTTATGATATAATATTTCACATTTTTGACCGTGGGATCGTATGCCTCCTTCAGTGGAGCCTGTAGAGTACTTTTGTTTTAATTACATCAGCTGGATGCATTGTTAAACAGCCTTGCAGTGTGCAATGCATTTGCCATTATGTTCATAAAGAGGAATCTAATTTTAGATATTTGTACTAATTATAGTTTTAATACTGAATTGTTGTGTGTTAGGTTGTAGGAGTTAGTAACATGTACATTGTACCTTCTTATCAATATCATACATCTTACTCATGCTTTAAGTCTATAAACTACTAACTGTTCCCCTTGCATAGTGGGGGATGAATGTTTATTCAAGGCTGGGCCTGAATAAAGTACTACATACACTTGGGTTACCACCTATCCCTTTCAGTACCCAGTAACCATGCTTTATGTTACCAGCAATAGTAAAATCCAAGGTTAATATCATACATATAGGCTTATGGTATATGGGTGAAGATAAAAATGCTGGTTGATTTTTTTTAAACATAATATTTATATTTTCACTCTTGAATTTTTAGATGCCACAATTTTTTAAAAATAATAAATATAACTATTTTTATTTTTAATTTATATGTAATTTAGATTCAGAAAAAAAGTCTTTACTTTCCCATATTTTCCCAAATTTTTCCCCATTAACGTTATATAATTTCATAGTGATTACCCATTGAATTAAAAATTGGTAACCTTTGCATTTTTATTCTTTCTATTTATGGTTATTCTTACTTGTGATGAAGCAACACCTCTATTTATACTGCAAAATAAAAGTGAAAATTGATGACTAATAATTTTACTATAATACAGTAAACATACTAGAATATTGTGAGATGATTGCTACTTTGGTTTATTTTATAAATAACATTCATCGTCAACAAAATAATACTAAATAATAATTACAAATAACTGAATTTCAGTCTATAGTAATGCAATTTTAAGAAAATCGGGTAATTTAAAAGAATATTTTACTTCAAAATTTGAAGTAAATCTAATTACCATACTGTACAATAAGATCCTGCTGATGCAATATACTTACTGAAGATGAAAATGAATAATTATTGCTGTGACATATAGCATTACAGTTCCCTTTATAAATCTATCTGAAGAAGCAATACATTGTCTGATATTACTTTCCAGACATTATACATAAGTTAACTAGCAATACATTAAAATATTTAATGAAATTGTTTCACATTATCAAACCAAATTCAGCATGTCATTTTGAGAATTATCCTCAAAATATACAGTATGTCTACATGTGAATAACATATGATGGTTAAATTTTCTGTAACCATGCTCAATCAACATTGTAACTAAGCCAATGAGCCGAGACATTTACTTAGCCTCGTCCAAGAGTTTGTAACAACAGGGTACATTATGACTGTGCCCTGACTCAGAACCGTGTGCCAGTTTCACTGCTGAATTTTTCAGTTGTGCGTCAACTTGAATAGTGGTATTGTCTATGGGTATTGTTATCATTGTTTGTGTTTAAATCTCTATAGCCTTGTCTTTATTTGGTAGATAAATTTCAAGGGAGAAGAATTTGACAGTTCAAACTACATCTATATTGTACATTTATGTTTACACACTTTTTGTGAACCCTTTAAAAAGAATTTACAGTAGTATAGAAAAAGCTATGGTTGAGATTTTCTCAATAGTTGATGACTTGAACCATGAAGCTTTTGTTTTGTTTGATTTATTTTTAAATATTTTAGTAAGTTTAATAAGGATTTAAAAGCAATTGTAGATGTTGTTTACTTTACTATGGAGGTATTACATTAAAATTAAACCTCTTTGCTTATACTAATTTTCATTATTTTCTTCAGAAGACTTCAGATAAGATTATATGGACATTAAGAAACATTACTTTCAAAGCTTTATATTTATGATAAATATTCAATAGTTTGAATAAATTATATGCCAGCCTATCATTTTTAATAATAATAATAATAATAACAATAATGATAATAATAATAATAATAATAATAATAAACAAGTACTTTTTAAAGCGCTCCATACAATGAAGTCTCAGAGCTCTAATTTAATATATCTTTAACGATATAGAATTTATTAACATTTGTTAAAATATCTGAAAAAACATTTGACTCTTTTGTTATTGTATTTTTGTTCATCTTCTCCTTCACCTTTTGGTAGACAAAATCATCTAAAGGAAATGAATGAATGATTTACCTTTGGAATTTACCTAGATAGGAAACGAGTGATAACATTCATACATAGTACAGCTGACCTGTGAACTGGTGAGCAACAAGTTACAGAATAGAATATCTGAATGTTCATATTTTCCAAATAAAAAAAGATGAACATGACTTACAGATGACATGAACTTTCAATTATATATTTGTTAATTTATTAGGTCATCAGAGTTGAAACCTCAAAAGTGAATATAAAATTTTTGTTCTCAGATAAAATTACAAAAATGTGGGAACATTTTAAGACAATGAGTATTCAGGGTTCAGCTGTTGACCTGACAATTAATGGCAATGATTGAGATACGGTATATTCAAATTTGAATATTTCAAATAATTAAAGATTTACACCATGATTATGGAGTAAACATGGTCAGATCCCAACATCATAATGGTCCATTTAAACAGATTTCTTAAATATCTTCAGGAAGAGATGTTCATATTTACTGTACGTTTTTAGTGGTCTATTCAAAATTAATGTTTTACTCTTTTTTGTGTGTGTTTCAGGTGGTTTCGTGAGATTTAAGGCCAGCTTCCCGAACCTTTGCGTTTCTCGTGATTCGAGTCAGTGTTCCACGCTGGCGCCACTATCACAACCCTGTATGCCGGTGGCAAACGTTGGCCCCACCAAGATCCTGAGCTTCTTGCACCTTGGCTCGCAACAAGATGTTATGAACCAGGATCTAATGCACGTCAACGGCATCAACTATGTCCTTAATATCAGCAAGACGTGCCCCGCGCCAAAGTACGTACCGGAAGCCAACTTCTGCCGCATACCAATCCATGACAATTATTGCGAGAAAATATTACCGTTTCTTCAAGAAGCCATGGCCTTCATTGGTAAGATTTCCACCATTTGACTACCCCATGGTGATTTTATAGCAAAATTTCACAATTTAAATAGAGGGCAGCATATATATTAATAATTAACTATTTTCTATTGAATTGGAGGAGAAATGTTGGCCTAATTAAGATAGAAACCATAAACTACCATCTTTTTTCATAATATTCACAAACTTCTTTAATGTCATCTCAAGTTGCAATACCTTTAAAAATTTATGTGAAAAAAATTGGTAATTGAAAGTCTGGCGTTTGTCTACATCATTTTCTTGGTATGGTCCTAGATAGTCGTCGCTTGTCTTAATACAGAATTATATTATTGTGTGAATTTGTTAGTTCTAATAGTTGAAAGACAATAGCTATTAAATGTGATAGTGATAATTAACATATTGAATGATGATGGGTATAAAAAGGGAATGTTTTAATCGTGATTTCATCATGTATATATACATGATGAAATCACGATTAAAACATTCCTTTTTTAGTACACTATTAATGTTATATATCACATAATGATAAAGATGTTAAAACAAAAACAGCATTAGAATTAATGTTGACATTTTGATTGCCATTTGTCAAGTTGTCAAAATAGAAGAGCTACATCATCATCTTTCTATTGACCTTTTTAAATCCTTCTAAAAAAAAAACCCAGGAAATGATAAAGCATGTGAAAATGACAAGCAAATCATTTTTTTTTTGTTGCTTTTGAAAACTGCCCATAAAGTTTTTTTCTTAGTTGATTGTGAAACTATAATTATCCCATTTTAAATCTCCAAAATTGTGAACAAAAAAGAAGGTTAACCTCTGATGAAATGTCATGTTTGATACATTCGGAGATTTGAGTCATTTTCAAAGTGTTTTCTTCTCACGGATGTTGTGTGAAAGAACACAATTGTGCCAAATTATACATATTATAGTTCTTATATTTTATTTATATTTTTAATAGATTATTTTTTGGTTTGTGGAAGTATTTATTTCATAATGAAAGTGCATCTGTACCTTATTTGTGTTCTTTATTGGAAATAATACTGGAATATCATTAGGATTCAGTTTATTTTAGTCGCAGGAACATCCAACCTTTATCTTTTCTTTCTTCTCTTCATGAATGTCTGAAGGAGAATACTGCCCTCTAGAGATTATGCCTCTCTTTATAATTCTGGCTGAGAATTTCTATTACTGTAAATACATTAGGTTTAATATGCAGTTTTTTCAAAATATGTGGAAATTGAATTATACTTTTTGAGATGATTAATCAATGTTCTCATTCAATCTCTATTTTGATGAAGGACAGTATTAAGAAACTTATTTATTTTACTCTTAAACTATATTGGTTTACAATTTCAGATAAAGCTAGATCAGCAAATGGTGCTGTAATTATCCATTGTTATGCTGGAATATCAAGATCGCCGACAGTGGCCATTGCATACATTATGCAACACCTCAACATGACATCTGAAGAGGCATATAGGTTAGTAAAATGTTTCATTAGATAAGACAATAAAATTGTTGACATTTCCCAATCGTGATTTGTTGGTCAGCTAATTGTAGCGTTCATTGCCAACCATCATTCATTCCTTACATTTTGATTGGCAAAATGGTAACTACATAGTTAAGATCAAACTGATTATTAGAGCATGAAAAGTGGCATTTTAAAACATTGTGGTGGGAACATTTTTCTTGAAAAATGGCAAAAAAACAGGCCATGGATTGACTTTTGTTTACTCTTGGTTTACAGGTATGTCAAAGATAAACGACCAACCATTTCACCTAATTTCAACTTTCTTGGCCAACTACTGGAACACGAGAAACTTTTGAATCAACAGCGCAAAGCAACAGCAGCCAAATCACCTCACAGTACTGCTGCTTCAACTGGTAGCCAAAGAAACAATAACGACCAATCAAAAAGCTCAGTTGCAATGCCAGCATCACCTGATCCTAGTGAAAGACCATGGACGTCTAAAAGGACAAAGGTTACTGCATGTCAATCCTTACCTTTACCTGTACGAGGTTCGGACTTAAAGAAACCTCTAAAAAGGTCTCCAACAAAAACACTAGAAAGACCTAAAGGACTTGAATTAAAGAAAGTTACAGAAATGGGACCAATCTTTTTAAATAAACCTTGTATGAAAAAGGGAGTACGAATGCATGCATTATCACCCATTAAAACACCAGACGATCCACTTTTTCAAGTTGGAATTATGACAAGTAATTTGAGTGTGAACTCTCCAGAAGTTAGGAATTGTAATCCATTTGTGGAGGCTTGCAAAAAGATGGCAACAGATGTGCCAAAACCAAGTAAACCATCAGGAAAAAGTCCGTCTTTGAGTCGTAAACGAGAACGCGAAGCATCGTGGACAGATACAACGATGGAAATGGCAGAAAAAGCTCTGCAGGCAACTCAGGAAAAGGAGAACGTTGAGAATCCCAAATCATCAGCGTACTCGCAGATAACAATTGGAGTCCTTCCAAGTGCACCCTCTGATGAACAAAAAGAAACTGAATTCGTTAAACATGACGGAAGCAAAGGAGGGAAACTACGTATTGGTCAGGGAAAATTAGCATCTTTGAAACTTGCGATACCAACGAATCAGGTAACAGTGCAAAGCAAAACACCAGTGAGTGGTACGATATTGTCAACGCCTAGCACAACAACTGAGAGTCCTTCCAATTTATATTTTAAAAGACAGTTAAGTGAACAATCAGCGTCTAGTGATACAAGTAGCGGTGTATTGTGTAACAGCTCTTCCAGTGCTTCTCTGGAGAGTCAGAGTGTGCTCGGTTCAGGACAATCAAATATTTCTTCAATTGACTCTGGTTTGACCCCTTCCTCTTCAGGTGTAATGTCTCCTGAAGAAGAAGCTTCACGCCTACAACTTTCTCATTCTCAGGATGTAATTAGATCACAGACCCAGCAAACAGAAATCAACCCATTTAGATTCCCACACAAATCAAAAGATTTAAGTCCCAGTCCGCCAAGGCCTCATAAAGAACCACTTTCACGGCAAAGACATCGTGACAGAGATACCTCAATGGAGACACGACAAATACATCGTGACCATCTTCAAAAAGTACCAGAATCGCATCTTTCAAATTCTAAAAAAAGTTTAGAGTCTTACTCAAGTGAAAGTAGTGGCACAGACTCTCCACGACGGAGTGGAAGCTATGAGAGACTTCTTGATTCCGATGTGGTTGACTCTTGGTGCAGTCGAACACGGAACTTTGCACCACTTAAAAGTGCTTCATGTGAGGAGATCAGTTCATGTGCTAGGGAAGCTGTTGCAGAAATTGTAGTGCGCGAAAGATATGAACGTGTGCCAACATACGAAAGAATCCAGAATTATGATTGTGAAATGGATGATGATATTGATTCACGTTCTCTGAGCAGTCAAAGGTCTTTAAGTAGTTCTTGTGAGATGATTGAAGTCTCATGAGAGGTATTTTCTGAAGAAAGTTGAGTAAGAAATCCAGGCCACTCAATACTCTTAATAGGTCGTATTTTCTTTTGTTGTTTACTTACAGAAGAGTACTGGTAGCCATACACTGTTCAATTAGAGAATGAACGTACGTAGTCTGCTATGAATTGTTAATATTGAGGGGAAAAAAATAATAATGAATCAGGAAAATTCTTCCCCATAACATTGCTTAAATTCAATCTTTTTTTCAATAGGTTTGGTATGGGAGGCAAAATTTGTCAAAACAAACTTTTCATTGAGGTGGTTTTACCTAGGTATGTTGTACAATGTGCATAAAATTGTCGGTTGATTCTAGTAGTTGCAAATTATTAACTTTTCACTTTCACCTGTTGGTACCCTGTAGAAGTTTATAATACATATACGACTTCATCCTTTTGTCTCTCATTTTAAGTCTGCATTAGACTCATTTATCAACACTTAATCTTGTACCCTTAGGCTTCTGTCCGTCCTCTACATACTCTGCATAAAGTCCTCTTATTTCTTACATTTACTACTACCCCTATAGACTGCATGATATCGTAACCGTTGACCCCCTAAACAAGTATAGTTCATTGACCATGTAGAAGAATTTGTGTTTAGCTTTAAATAGTGACAGCTATGTGTGTGTCTGGTGGAAGTATGTTAGTTTAGAGAAGTTTTCACATTAAACACATCTTATCAGATATGTAGAACATCTTATCAGATATGTAGAAAAAATCAAATCGTTTTATAGATACACATTCTCATCCTCAAATTTTCTACTTTCGTAAAGAAAACCATATTTGTATGATTGCTGGTCAATCTTGTCAACTCATTACAATAACCAATCAAACTGGTTTTAGTATATTAAGTAATTTCAAATAATACTATATGTAACAGTCATTTTCATTGGTTGTTTGATTCATTGCTCTGATATAGTGAGTCTAAGCCATTATTATTGTAAAATGTTATATTTTGAGAAATATGTTTATATTAAATTCTAAATTTGAAAGCTATATTAACATCATAACATCAGTATTATTGTGTTTAGGAGACTTGTACAATACAAAACATTTTTCCCTGTCACCTTTTTCTTGGTTTTGAAAAAAAAAAAAGTTATCTGTTCCTTCATTAAAACCCATCTTATTGATAGATGTTGGGTGTATTTGATTTTAAATTGCAGCAGCCAATATTGGGTTTTTATACATTACCCAAGTGCTATATATATAGAAGGCAGTTATGGATTTCCATACTTTACCCATTATGCCAAATATTGTAGCAGGCAGCTGTGGGTTTCCATACTTTTTCCCATGTGCTGTTAATCCATTGCATACTCTCCTTTACATTTCCCATATTTAATACTCAGGTGTTATTGTATTGTGCCTTTTCTGACCAAGAAGTTGTGTGACTTTCCATCGACGAGGAAAGAAAAAAAAGAACCTATTTTTATAAAGCCACATTGTTACGCAAAAAAAAATTAAAAAATTTGTTGTATTTGTGAGAAGTTTGATTTTCAGTTTGTTGAAGAACTTGGGAACAAATTGTGTTCATGTAGTTATAAACAGTGTCTCCTACTATGCTTTATAGTAATGCATATGCAGGTTGTAGCTGTGGACCATGTTGAAGTAGGCCTAGAGATAGGAAAAAACAAAAAAAGAAAAAAAAAAGAAGAAAAAAAAAAAGACAATAGCCAACTCATAACGTTACACGTGCAATTTAGTTAAATGTGAGTTGTTTAAGTGACTGAACACGCTAGCCTACACAATCGTCAGAGAAGGTTGAGAACTGCTCCTGCAATGAGCAATAGATTTGATACTATGGCGAGCAAGGCAGAAACAGACCTAACCTGTAAATTAAGGTGTTCCCGGGGCTGGGTGTGTGATCCTTTCACAATTTTGTCAGTCATTTAAAGGGATTCTGTTTAATTTTTTTTAAATGTATAACTGATAAATGTTTGTAAATATATTTAAATTTTTCTGATCCATCATGAACTGTATATTTTGTAATGTATTGAGAATTTTATCTTTTATTTTGTTGTCCCTGAAAAATGGCCAATGCTTTTTGATGTTTGCTTCAGAACAAAATTATCAATGATTGTTGCATGCCAAGTACAGAGATACATTTCTGGTCATATTTTTTTTCCAATATTTATTTCTTCTAAATAGAAACTTTGCATTCCTTTTGCAGTTATTGTAAAAAGTATTTTGCTCGTGACTGGCGGTGCAAATTCTTTCTATATTAAATTTATTGTATTACTCATAACCACAGCAAAGGAATTCCAAATTCCATCGTTTCCAATTAAAACAAAGTGAAATTACTTGCCCTTCAGGCACTAATTATCCCAGAACTTACAGACGCTGAAAATTATCACCTCCATTACAGATATAATGAATAATATTTCCATAACTTCTATTTAAAAAAAAACAAAAAAAAACCCAAGATTTAGATAGCTTCATCAATGATTAATTTCAGTGCACTTTTGAAGAGAGTAAAACTTTACAACAAACTATTTATTGTAGGCTGATATAGACTGATATATTTTGAATTATACATTCAATTCTATGTTGTACGTGGTTATCAGTGGTGTAAACAGCGATAGAATTTCAGACTAGGTGTGTAGGAAAATGTGGAGAACTTTTGGTAGTTAAAAGTTATTGTGATGAAGCTATAAATGACCCTTTGTGATTAATAGGCCTATTCTTAATAATCATTGTTAATGTTATTTCCATTATTAACAAATGTGTGATTTTTGAAAGTGTTTGATAATAATCGCAGTACAATTTTATACCTGTGCTTGTTGTGTCATCGTTAGAGGGTTAAACCAACTTATTGACTCAAAATGCTATGAATTTACATTACTGTATTTATGGACCATGTATTGTGTTAGTTATGATTATTATAGACTCATTCTATGAGGACCCCGAGTGAGAAAGTGTACCTATTTTCATGTTTGATTTTAACTTTGTTTGGGTGCTTGTTGGGTGAATTGAAGCCATTGTTATTTTGGTGTTAATTTGTTGTTGAGTTAGAAGAATTTGTTGTAATAAACATTATTGCTTTGGCATGTATGCATGTTTTAGTGTTAGAAGGAGCTCGGTGTAGTGTGCAAGAATGGAAGAGAAATATCAAGATATCTTTTTAATTGTTCTATTTATTAATATGTGTTTATTAATTGTAATTACAACATTTTAAAAAACGATATAATTAATGCAAAATACACCTTATTTATATTTAGGCGGCATTGATACATTTTCCCGAAAGTATTATGAAATTTCAAATATTAATATGGGTTAATATACCAATTAAATCATAAATTTCTTACAATGTTTATGTAGAAATTTCAGAAATGCCCTTAAATCTGTTGTAGTAATGCTTGATTCAATGAGCTTGGATCATGTTCTACCAAAAGAGGGCGCTATGTTGTAAACCCGCTCTCAAAGTGCTAATCTATTATATGCCCATTCTTGTTAGCCTTATTGTATCTTGAGATGCATATTTTCGGAAATGCGTATCCATGCAGACGACGTGTAAAGTTTGTGGACTGTACTTGAAGATAGGTAGTTGTAAAAAGAAATGTTGGTCTGTCGATTTGTAATGGTAAGACGAGCAATAAAGGGGATAAAGCCCAATGAAAATGATATTTTGTTGTCCATTTGTTGCTCAGCTATTGCTGTTTTGTGCTTTCGTGATGAATGTTTGAATGTGTGTTTTTTGCACTGATTTTTTTGATATCGTGAACAGAAAACAACGTCACTACCTTATAAGAATAATTGAACCACATTCTTTAGAAACAAAAACTTCCACATTATACAATGGTAAAAATAACTAACTCAATTTACACGTAGTGAGTGTGTGTGCTGAAGTTTTGCCAAAAATGTACTGTTGATAACCAGCTGGGTGCAACATTAACACAAAGGATCTAAAGCCTGTTTTTCACTAGGCGAATTTATTCACGCGAATCCAAAGCGTCGGCTTACATGCGCATTCCCATTCCTATCGGAGTTTTTGCGAAACGAAAAAATGCGCAACCAATCAGAGCTCAGGAAGCGCGGAACCGGCACTTTGATTCGTGCGAACAAATTCGCCTAGTGGAAAGTTTCGAATGAGAAATTTTTTAATAAGAGCATGGATAGAAGATCTCTACCAAACCACATGTATATATTGGCATCATGTGCTTGTCTAGAACAATTATGGTCCAATCTTATATAGCCAGGAAACACTTCGCATACATCCCGTTTTTTGGGAAAATCGTCCGTCGTTTTCATTCATTCGTTTGGTGCATTTAGTGGTTAGTGCATTTAGTGGTAAGTGATTGATGTACAGTAATTAAAATATTGTATTATCTACTAAAAATAGGAAGAATTCATTTTAACAGAATGTTATCCCATAATATTAGTGAGAGCGGCTGAGTATGTGCCATTGCTGTGTTCATGATGTGCCGTTCTTCAAAATATTCGAACTCCCATTTTGTCCTCAGCCTTAACATGGCGGGGTTAAACTTTTCCGTTACACGATCACTGGTATAAAAGCACATGATAGTAACTTTGGTGTGGAGATACACCGCCACCGGTGATAAATAAAGATTAAAAAATGTTTTGAGAAACGTCCCATCGGGATTTGAATTCAAGTCCTGATTAACCGGACAGGTACTCTACCAACTGATCTACAAAGCCAGATGGTTAGTGGCGTAGGCCCTATCTAGAAGTCTTAAATTGGGGGTGCTAATGGGGAGCGCGAAGGTGAAGTGGGTGGGGGGGGGGACTCGATGATTGGCGCTAACTTACAAAATAAGGTGATTTTAGGTGATTTTTAACTACATGTAAGTGATTTTTTGGGGCGACTGGAGGGGGCGGGGGAGTAATTTTTAGAGGAGTGCGCATGCGCACCCCCTAGATACCCCACTGCAAGTGGTACACCATCAAAGCATTTATTGTCTTTATCACCAGTGGAGTTGTTGCCATACCTATCATGTGCTTTTATAACACTCTTTGCGTATAGCAACCTTGAGAAAAACCGTGTCCTCGGAAAAACACCCGGAAGGGCGTAGCTCTGGTAGAGTATCAGAAAGGTAATGGGAAGGTCTTGGGTTCAAATCCCGATGGGGACAATATGTTTTTCTCAAAACATTTATTATCACATGTATAAAAGTACACGGTATGGTTCTAAATATAGGATATTGTTGCCACACCAGAACAACATTGTTGAAACACAATGGAAATACGCCCAAGAATATGTAGCCAAAGTGTGTGTGTCTATGTGGATGACTTACATGGAAAACAAAAGGAAACATGAAAGTATTTGTTCAATATTATTGCGCGAATGTTTCACGTTTACATTCCTTCATGTACTTTGATTGGAAATGAAAAGTGACAGTGGAGGAATTGCAGCAAGCGTTCATGCTTAGATTTTGCACATATTGCCAACATTTACCTTTTTGCATAACTAGATGTCATTACTGTACGTCCGGTGCTGAATGAGGTTGGGAGAGTGTTTGTTGTGCACTTTACTTCATGAAATTATCCAGAACATCGCCGATGAGAAGCTAGCATTAAACAACATAAATACAAACTCTGTATTATACATAGAGTAAAAGCACTGTACTATTGCGGATGGTTCTGGTTCGGTAAAAGCCGACCTCCTCCTTCAAAAGAACAGGAGGTGTAGGACATCCATGGATTTACGAATAAGCCGTTTAATTTAGGCCTACTGCAGATACCTTCTATATAATATAATAGAGCCCCATGATAATATAGGACTATATAGCAGCTGGTGTGGTGCCAGTGGGGTATCCAGAGTTAGGGCCCGAGACATCGGACCCCGTCGCGCAAATCCTGGCTCCACTTCCCCTTGCTGTTTAATATTAAATATAAACATTTGAAATGCTTTCTTTGTTTTAATTAAGTTATTAGAGACAACAGACGCATAAGCCTAAATATGCAGTTCTTTGCATCAGATACGGTACGGTACTTAAAGTTGGCTGGTAATGCGCTACAATTGTTTTTCTTTAAAATAAATCTTCGAAAACGGAACTCTTGATTTGTTCTTCATAGAAGTTATATAGGCTACTCTATCTTTCATCTTTTTATCTTGCAAACGAGTATTTGTCTTTCATTGAACGTCCTTTGGACCAATGTTGCAGATTGTTTGACTTGTGCATGCTTTAAGTGGCGTGAAGATTTTACAGGGGCTAAATGCTTCTCTTTGATGCTGGTTGCTTTCATGAAATTGGGCGGGTACGCATTGATAATCATAATGAATTTTGCTACTAACGTTCTTTGTTTAAACTCGCATCTATATGTAAATGAAACTTGTTTAAAATATTTGAATCAGGGAGAAAATATAAAGTATTATTTTGTTTTGTTATAGATGGCGCACTCTATCATTGAATACCATGAAGTTGTGAATTTGTATCTTACAGTAGCCTAGTTCCTTTCTTTCTCTTTGTTTACCCACAGCTCGTGATCATCCTACTCTGTGGTTTGAAAAATGATTAATCAAAGTCGACAGTTATTCCATCGTCGTATTTATCATGTGACTCACTGTCAATCACTAAAGCTTATTAGTAATTACAACTATTACATGTTAACTATTAAAATAAAAACCATTGCTGACAGGTTACCAAGAAGCGGCGAACCACACAGCTAAGCTGTGGTAAGCCTTAACTAAATTGTTAATGTACATACAATTCTGAAGTCGAAACAATAACATTATAATTATTGACCGGTCAGGTGAAATTAAATTTACTTAGTGTATCAGTCTTGAAGTTGCATAACCTGCTATGGTTGCGTAGTGACGACAGCGCGTCTAATTTACATTTTGAATTGTTGTCTAAGTCGGGTGACAAAGCAGCACTTTGAAACTAACTTATTCGTTGTACTTTAGTATATATTTAATTTCATTAAATTAAGTATGCATTATTTGTTTCAGAGTGTCGTCTATTCCTGTAGATGTCTGGTGGTTTAGGTCTCACACCCATAGTGATCTACTATAAATAATTAACCAATCCAGGGTGCCAATCACACTTAACAACTGACCAATCAGAGCAGGGCAAGATTACGCACATGTCCCACAAATACACATAGTGTTTACGTACGTTTAGGCTGACGTTTAGACGCAGTGTCGTTTGTAAGAGCATCAATTGGAGCAGGGCTTAGCTGAACGCTCCATTACCCCATTCAGTAGCCTACATTGAGCACTCGTTTTGATTTCCTTTGTTAACTTACAGGTAACTTTAAATTTTTGCAACAAATCAGTTTGACAATTAAAATATCAACAAAAATGTTACCGGTATCTTTTTGTGGGACGATATGATTAACAGTATCGTGTAGGCTTATAAAATACATCTCGTGTAGGCTAGGCCTATCCGTCTTACATCTTACATTATTATAGATGTAAAACCTTTATTACCACCAACTTTATCGATTATTTCAAAATTCATATAGGCATAGACCTTAAGGTTAGATTAGGCCTACTCAAAAGTAAATAGCCAAATCGTAAGTAGGCTTTAACATAATAATCACTGAACCCCTTATAGGCCTAAGTATTTAGAAATGTCGTCCATGGATTAAGAATTCTTTCAGTATCCGCACATAATTGTAAATCTTCCATTCCAAATGTTGCCAATTTCTCTTATACTCCAACGGGTTATCATCTGTTCCTATCTCTATTTTTACCATGCTGTTCCCAGAGCTCTTCAATTCACAGAACTCTCTCACTTTTTTAGAGGAAAAACGTAAAAGTTCGTGAATACTTCCCTCCATAGTTCTCAAATTTATTCGGTCCCCAACTGAGCTACCTGCACCCATTTTGCGCCCCATTCTATCACTATCCTCTATATTACCTTTCGAAAACGTTTGGCTGTCAACGTTGCAATCGTATTTCATAATCCTAACAGCGTTACGTTGTATATAACCTGCATCTCTCCAGCCCTTATATCTTTAAACCATCATTTCCAGATAGTTTTTTTACAAAATATTTGAAGATTAAAATTGTAGGCCTATTCTTCTTCATCCCTGGAACGATAATTTGTTCCACTTCCCCGGTCCCGAAAGTAGCCCATGCCCCGTATGTGAACCCAAGCATTTTATGACTAAACCTATTGCCATGGGCTAAAAAAATAGTTTTATTTATTATGTGCTCGTATGAACTTCGGTAAACTTTTTTTGGAGTGCATTGGATTATAAGATATCGACTAACATTAATGTCAATCACTGCAGGGGAACTATAGTTATGATATCACGTATTTGATCTGACAAGATAAAAGATTTGGTTATAAGCTCGACATGAGGACCTTCCTGTTCAATATCATTTTATTTCTTGGTATCTTGTTCGAATGAACTACAGAATAGTTCAATAATGAAAAACTGGTCTTGATTCATAGTTCCATTTCCGGATGATTACTCGACTTGTTGACAGATAAACGAAAGGGAATAACAGCTCTCAGAGACAATGCCGTTTGTCGCGTCCCTTGAGATTTCAATGATGAGCTGATGTAGACCCAAATGAACTCTACATTCAAAGTGTGAGTCATTTTTCTGAAATTCTTAACTTTATTAAAATTTCTCTCAGATGTGAGAATAGATTTAACTTTTGTCTTTAAGAAATCTTTTTAAATTTCCTTTTCCTCTGTATCATAATG